TTGTGAGCCTGTGCTGTCTGGCAAGGGCTAGTTCCCTCCCTCCTCCAGATCTGTATTCTAAAGTGGTAATAGCTTGATAGCCCCAGTGTTAGTCTCACTTTAAACAAGAATATTTGTTTCTACTTTATTCCAGATGTTTTATTGGTAAACACTTACAGCATAAAATTTTCATCTTTAATTATTTGTAAGTATGCATTGGATGATACTAAGTACATTGGTATTGTACAACTGTTCCCTCCAGCCATCTCTAGCAGTCTTCTTTTTGTAAAACTGAAACTCTCTACCCATTAAAGAATAACTCTCCATGATCCCCTTCCCCCAGCCACTGGTAATTTTCTCCTTATTTTCTTGCTTTTCAAAATATTTTTCCCTTCTTCCCTCATAACCTATTCTCTGAAAACCACTATTTTACTCTGCTACTACATTTCAGCATTTTTTAGGTTCCACATTCAAGTGGCATCATGCAATGTTTGTCTTTCTGTGTCTGCTTTATTTCACTCAGCATAACAGCCTCTAGATTCACCCATGCATGCATGCAAATGGCAGGATTTGCTGGTCTTGGAAGGATGGATAATACTCACAATATATACATAGATAGGTATTTCTCTCCACATTTTCTTTATCCTTTCATCTGTTGACAGACTTTTAGGTTGTTTCTTGGTTATTGGGAATAATTCTGCCATGAACAAGAGAATGCCGCTTTCTCTTCAGGATACAACTTTTATTCCCTTTGGATATATATCCAGTGTGGGATTCCTGAATGATATGGTAGTTCTGTTTTTAACTTTTGAAGAACCTCTATACTGTTTTCCTAATGACAACATGAATTGACATTTCTAGGAACAATGCACAATGTTCTGTTTTCTCTACATCCTCACCAACACCTGTTCTCTTTTCACTTCTGATAGTAACTGTCCTAACAGGAATGAAGTAGCATGGCATTGTGGCTTTGATTTGCATTTCACTGATTTTCAGTGAGGTTGAGCATGTTTTCACATACCTTGGTCTTCTAAGGGAAAATGTTCAGATCCTTGGCTTATTTTTTAATAAGGTGTGTTCTGTTTTATTTTGCTATGGGGTTGTAAGTTGTATTTTGCTATTGAATGCCTGGCTTGTGGGTATTTCCTCCCATTCCGTAGGTGGCCTTTTTATTTTGCTGATTGTTCCCTAGAAGTGCTCTAGTTTTGTGTGTTCCTATCTGTTGACTGCATTTTGGTGTCCCACTATGACCAAGGTCAAAAGTTTTTCCAAGTATTCTAGGAATTTTGCAGTTCCAGGTCTTCAACTTAAGTCTTTAGTGCACGTTGAGTTCATTTTTGTGTGTGTATAATAGAAGACTTTAAGTCATTCTTTTCCCTGTGGACATCCAGCCTGCATAACTTCATTTATTGAAGAGATGACCTTCTTTCCATTGTGTATTCTTGACATCTTTGTCAAAAACTAGTTGACAGTACATAAGAGGACTCTTTCTGGAGTCTGTTTTGTTTCAATGATCTGTGTGCCCCCTTTTATGTCTGTGATTTTGCTTTGTTTTGCTTTTTTGTTAGAAACGGTTATGAGATAACATTGATTTACAACACTGTAAATGTGTTAATATACACCTTAACAAACATATGTTATCAGTCTACACTCACCACCGTCAGTCTGGGAGATTCACTATCCATGTGATATCATTGCTGAAGATTAAGGCCTCTCAGCAATTAAGCTTGAAGAAAACCTGAGCCACGCACATAAAAGGGGCGGACACTTAATTCCATTTATTTCTTTATCACTTAATAAAATTTGAGTGTGGTCTTATGCAAGCATACTGCTTTGTATATAAGGGATTCAATAATTGACAAAATACCTATATCCTTGTCCTTGTAGAATTTGCATTATTTTTGCATGGGGAAAAAGGATAAACTAAATATTATAGAGGGTAAAAGTGTTAAAAACAATAATAATAAAGAAAAGAGTTAGGGTGCCTTGGCAGCTGGATAGGCACAGTGTCAGGAAAGATGGACAGGACAGGTGAGATTACAGTCACAATCTGGAGATGGGACTGTGCAACCAGAGCCCTCTGCACTGCACTGTGTAAGCACCATTGAGAGGGTTGGGTGCTGAGGGAATAGTAACCGCACCACTGTGGGAGAGAGAACTAGGAGCTGAGACCAGGCAGGTAATGGGGATGGTGCTGAAAGGCGAGGAAGGGAAACTCAACTTGTAGGTCACTGCAGCCCCCTAAGTGTTTACCCCATGAAATGGGGGTTCCAGGGAATGCTAGGGTGTCAGGCAGATATGGTCTCATCAACCTGTACAGCGAAGCTCTGCTACTCTACCGGCTGATGGACCGAGGGTCGTAACTCTGCAGACTCCTAAAGGAATAACTAAAGTCAGTGGGTAGAAGGGGTGGCTTCTCTCATGCAATAACCCAGTTACTTATGTCCCTGTGAAATGATGCCCATCACCGTGGGAGCTAGTCAGCCACTCGTCCTCTGCAGGCCCCACAGAGGCTGCCGCTGTGAAATTCCTACATGGACTACAGCTTTCGTCCCTCTGACACCTGAGATTTCTTCCAAAACTGAGTGTCTATGATCCCACTGCATGTATCACCTCGATACCACCCCCCCTCGCCCCCCACCCCAGCCCCACTTAGACCAGAAGCTGCAGAATGCAGGGAGATTTGTCTGTTCTGTTCATTGCTGTGTTCTCAGTGCCTGGAACAGTGCTTCGCACACAGAGGACCCCAGTAAGTGTTTGTTCAGTGTACAGATGTCTGTGAAACTTATTGCAGGACCTTGTTCAAGGTCCCTCTGGACCTCAGAGATTAAAGAAGTTGCACTGGAGCCTCTCACGACCTCTCTGGGTCTGCCCGTCCGTGATCCCATTTCAGGCTGGGAGCAATTGTCTCCAAGGGGCTTGCAGACCAGCGACTGCTCATGGGGAGGAAAGGCAGGACTAGCCAAGGGTGAACCTTGGTCTAGGGAAGGGCACAGATAACCCTTAGGGTTGGGGACTCAGGAAATGGCTCTATTGTGTCTGAGATGCCCCCGGGATTCTGACTCCAATAAGGCATGTTCCCTAGAAAGCGAAGGTGTGGGCACAGAGCACCCTTCCCAATCATGTTGGCTTTGCCTGTTTTGAGTCAGCCTGCTCAAAAAGTGTTCACAGGTCAGTGGTGCTCTCATGGGACAGATGGCAGGACAGCATCAGGGGCTTTTCCCAAATGTACCAAAATGACACGTTTTATCGCAATGAAGTGTAAGATGACAATATGGCATTTGCTTTCTGTCGAGGTCCAGTGTTCCTCTGTGTCCCCGTTCACCCAGAGGCAGCAAGTTCCCACTCCCTGAG